TGATAGTTGGTGAACAAGTTGCAACATACATGTGTCTGTGTGATACACACACATAAACACAATATCTACCCACACACACATCCTATACTTTCCTCATGATTCTGGAGTATATTCTGAAGGCCCACAATTCACGGGTCAGGCTGGTGAGACTCACCAGTTCCCTGGGGACATTGTCAGCCACTGGGGACATTCCCTGAAATTCATCAAGCAGCTGCCTTTTGAGTGGAAGACTGGGAATGATGGACCAGCTGCACTTCAGGTGGTGGGATCCCACAGAATACAATTTTGCAAACCATTTTCTGACCCTTTCATTTCCAGTGTCCTCCATTGCTCCCTCTTGATGGTCTCTCTCTTACTAATCTTGGCATCTTTCTTTCCAAAGACATCTTATTAGGATTATGCAGTGATTTCGTTTCCTTTCCAAGAAGATGCTGCAGATGAATGAAAGGAGAATTTATCTGCAGTTCTTGAAGCATTTGTGTCTTTTCGTGGAATGGGGTGTCTCCCAATGTACTCCAAAGCACCTTTTAGGAATTGAACCAGAAGTGCTCACAACCTTATAGATTACTGCAAACTCTTGCTTTAGTGCTGTGTTAAAGAAATACACTTCAATTACCAACAGCAAATCCTTAGCATTTTTATTAAGAAATAAGAGAGACTGGCCCTGTTCTCACCATCCTCTTAATTAGGTTGGAGTGGGGGTACTTGAGGAAACATCAACAAGGTGTTAATTAACTTAGTGAACACCTCCCCCTGCCCCTGGAATTAAATTTTTATTTAAAGTTTAAACTATGAAAAGCGGGATATTTCAACTTGGAAAGCATTTTTTCCTTTTCAGATTAGTTGGGGGGGTGTTTGTGTATGTGTGTATACAAGCATACACATATCCATACCACATCTTGATAAAAATTGTGAAAAGTCTGGCTTTGGTCCACAAGCTATTAGTTGGCTGTTCCTGCTTTTAGTCTTGGCACACATGTCCATGTCCCCCTGAAAATGAATAACAAACATTGACCAGGTAGTTAATAATAATAACCACTTTGGATTGAGTATCAAAAGACATTTTTCCCAACCCCACAAAGTTTTGCTGATAAAATTATATACTTACTTGCACAATGCCTCTTGTTGTGACTGATGGAATATTATATAGAGGGAGGGAAGAAGAGTGTGCTTGCTGCTAGAACAACTTAGTGAGGTATGGATTAAGGAAGAGTGAAGGCATCTGATGTCCTTCAGATGTTTTGAATGTTTACTCCCATCAGCTTCAGACAGCATGGCCAATGGCAAGGGATTGCTGAAGCTTGAATCCAAAACATCTGGAGAGCATCAAATTGTCTACTCCTGATGTTCTGCTTGCAACTTTCCCCTTTTGCCTGCAGTGTCCTTGTCAGGGCTGTCTTTATCTTCATAGAGTGTCTCCAGGGGTAGGGAGTAAACAAGTCACCATGAATTCATTTCAGAGAAAGTTAAGGGATGCACTCAGGGAAACATTGTGGCAGAGCTAAATGATGCTCAAAGTCTGCTAGAGACCTCAAGTACTGATACTGAGCTTGTCCTCAGCTTGCCTAGCTTAAATCTGGTGCTTTGTTTCTTGGTGATGCAAGGGTGCAATGGAATATGTTAGTCAATGGCTTTGAACTACAGATTTATTCAGGTGATACGGAAATGGCTAAAATCAACTTGAGATGGGAGCAAGATTTCCCCAGCACTCCTTACAACTCATTTGCTTTGTTGATGGATGAGTCTTGCTGCTTCTGATATTCTATAGTTACCATGATTAGTGGCTACTGTTCACTGAATTGTCCATGAACCTGACCATTTTCCAAATTATTAATCTTGTGCTAGTCACAGACTGTACAGTTTAAAAATGCAGTGTCTGAGGAAGTATGTAATTACAGTCCTGAATCATCCATTGTTCAGTTATGACCACCAGTTATAATACTTTAAAATGGACATATCTATTTTTCTCACACCATACGTAATTGTATATACCTTTATGATGTTTTCCTCACTCAACCTTTGCTCAAACTAAGAATCCCTAAATGTAGTCTTTCCCAGTAAAGGAGATATTCCAGCTCCTTGACCAATTGGCTTAATTGTTTTTAAAAAGTTACCTTTTGATGAAATGGCTGTTGATATTTCAGGGTTCTAAGAATTCAGTACACCACCACCACGTTTTTAAAAAATGAAAATATGCTATAGCTCACTTGCAAAATACACCTGCTATGCATGCAAAATATCCTGGTTTCAATCCCTGGAATTTCCAGGTAAGCTAGGAGAAGATACTGTCTAAAACATTAGAAAAAATGCCACTGGTCAGTGTAGTACAGGAGAGTGGAATGTGCTTTGCTGGGAATGTGTGAACTGCTGCTGCCAGCATGTCTCACCGTTGGCCAGGGGCTACTGGGAACTGGAACTGTTCCCCAGAATCAGCTCCCCATTGCTGGTGTAGGTAAAACTGAATTAGAACGTCATGTGCCATATTGCATAGCTGCTATGCTCTTTCCTGTTGCTTTTAATGGTTAACAGGCATCTGCTATAACAAACAAAGTCGTACCATTTTTTTTCTTTAACAGTGCAGCATTGATTGATATGCTCAACTGCCAATCTTAAGTAAAACAGCTGTTGTTATTATTCACCATTTATTAAAGAGGCAGAAAACAAACGTTGAACTTGCTAGATTGGGCTCCCCTTGTGTGCTGGGCATTTGGAGGCTTTCAGTGGGAAAATCTACTCAGACTGAAGAGGTCTAGAGGTGCCATCTCAGTTGCAGCCTCTCTTTCCATTGGCAGGAGTCTTCTGAAGCCCAGAGGGAGGTCAAATTGCTTGTTTGCTCAACTTCTGCTTCCGATTATGATCTTTTCCTGCCAATTCGGCGTCTTGGTGATTGAAGGCTTGTTAATAACACACTGCCAGGGAAGGTTACAAGAGGAGACAAATGTGTTGCAAGTCCTTCAGCTGGAGAGCTCACTCGTTTCTTTGGGTTTCCGAGTGAGGTAGGAAAAGAAAATACAGAATGCCATGTCCTGGACAGATCTGAAGATCATAGTATTCCTTAGATTCAGGACAAATTTGAAACTTCTGTGCATCTTTTATAGTTGTGTTTAATACTCCGAATGCTGTAAACATTCCATTTTCATCCCCCACTTTTTTTTAAAACAGATCACCTAAAACCACAGTTGGATCCCTTTTGACCTCATATTGTTGGTAGAAAATTAGGTGGTGCATCATGTTTGCTCTACAGCTGCATTTGCAGAGTCCTGAGAAGACTCTGTTCTAGCAGGAGAGAATATAATATGGATTTAGCTTGTTTTCAGCACGGAGGTGTTAAATTCAGCAGACGATGTTTTCTCCATCCTTGCATCTCCCTTTCACAGGGAAAGTAATATCCCCTTACAGTCCATATGCATTTTAGAGACAAAGGACAGCACCTCCCAAATTCAGCTGGGCAGGGGATTTGAAGATTTAACTGAGATGTGGACTAAATGGAAATTAGCCTGGTATTGAAGTATTGAAGTAGACCTTGGCAGGTCCAGGTGATGCTTGCGGTTGGACATGTGCATATAAACCCCTGCTGTCCTTGGAGCTGCCTGCGTGAGCAACTGGAGCTGGCTGGGGACGCGCCCTGGCTGGATTGTAGCCACCTAAAGCTGAATCTGGGCTGATACATAGATGTCCCTACACTCAGCTCGTTCCAGCTCCATGTATCAAGTGGTGTTCTCTCTAAAGCTTTACTGCACCGAGCTTAATGCTGCTCGTATATTGCATTTTAAAGGCTTTTATCAGAATATTATTGATAGGAAGGTACTGTAAGTGAGAAATAGGTAGATGAGTTAGAAAATGTAAGGCCCCACTGCCTATCTAAAAAAACTAGTACAAAATTATCATTATCATTGATTATCATTGATTATACAAAATTATCATTGATAATATTGTACTAGTTTTTTTCATTAGAGTTTAAAGTAAAATAACAATGGCTTAAGGAAATACAGGATACTTCCCTTTCCCTTTCTGTTAAAATCCTTTGTATGGATATTTGCTCTAATTTAATCTTTCACAATCTCTAACTGAACTAGAAATTGTGACACATCTCATTAATAAATACGCTTTATGTATTTATTTTTAGGGATTTGGGGTTGGACACTTTATATTATTACCCTTCATCTCTCTCCCACTCTCTATCACCATCTCTGTGTGACAGAATGTAAAACCCATCAGAA